TTCCTAGGCCTAGCTAACTATTATAGAAAGTTCGTGAGGAACTTTTCTACTATCGCCGCTCCCCTGCGCAGATTGCTTAAGAAAGAGGCAATCTGGCAATGGGACAAGGATTGTACATTTGCGCTCAAGAGATTAAAGTGCGCACTAATAGAGTACCCTGTCCTCAAAGTAGCAGATCCGTCCTTGCCATTTGTGGTCACCACGGACGCAAGTCAGTATGGAATAGGCGCCGTGTTGCAGCAGGATGACGGCAATGGCTATGGACCCGTAGAGTTCATGTCCGCGAGGATGCCCTCAGAGAAGGTAGCCACCTCGACGTACGAGACAGAACTCTATGCTCTCAGGGAGACTCTAGAGCACTGGAAGCATTACCTGCTTGGGAGGCACTTCAAAGTGTATTCTGACCACGAGACCCTTAGGTGGTTAAAGACTCAGGCCAAGATGACACCTAAGTTGACTAGGTGGGCCGCAGAGATAGACCAATATGACTTTGAGCTTAAGCCAGTGAAGGGCAAGTACAAGGTAGTTGCGGACGCTCTGAGTAGGAGATCAGACTACTTTGGAGCCATAGTACACTATCTGGATATAGGGAGAGACCTGCAGGAGAAAGTGAAGCAAGCGTATGCGCAGGACCCTATCTATAGCGACCTCCTAAAGAGAGTTAGAGAGGCCCCAGAGACCAACCAGATTACCGCACTACAGACGGGTTGCTGTTTGAGAAGACTAATGTGTTTGACCGCCTGTGCGTTCCCAACAGTGAAGAGATCCGCAGTTTGATCCTAGGGGAATGCCACGATACCAAGGGACATTTCGGTTGGCAGAAGACATTAGCCAATCTGATGCGTGCGTACACTTGGCCAGGGATGAAGAATGACTGCATAGAGTATGTCCGCAGTTGTAAGGTGTGCCAGAGAAATAAGACTACTACGCGCGCCCCCTTAGGTCTTCTCAGACCCTTGCCCATTCCCGATCAGCCAGGAGACTTAGTGTCCATAGACTTCATGGACACCCAAGTCAAGAGCAGACATGGTAAGAGCCAAGTCATGGTCATAGTTGACTGTTTTAGCAAGTATGCCGTTTTTGTTCCCTTGCCTGCAGAGGCACGTACGGACTTAGTTATACATAAGTTCTTTGACTTTTGTTCTTTGACTTTTGGGTTAGTGAGAATGGAATCCAATTGTCAACGATAGAGATAGTCGTTTCACCAGCTAGAACTGGCAAGAACTCATGAGAGTCTACGGATCTAAGCTATTGATGTCGTATGGCCGCCATCCAGAGACAAACGGTCAGACAGAACAAATGAACAAGATCCTACAGCAAGTTTTGCGCATGTACATTAGACCTGATCAGATTAACTGGGACGAGATGTTGCCCAAAGTAGCTAGCGCATACAACAACAACGTGCATCTATCCACCTGTGGCACTCCCAATGAGCTGCACAAGTCCTTTAGACCTCGCAGACCATTTGAAGGACTGAACCGGGATCAAATTTCACAGACTACCGCCCGGTACGAGGGACTTTGCGATAGAGCACGAAAAAGAACTAGCAACAGTTGTAGAAAACCTCAGGAAGGCCCAGCATAGAATGATAGAACAGGCTAATAAGCACCGTCGCCCGTCACAGTTTCAGGTAGGCGACTTAGTCTTAGGAAAACATCTCGCAGAAGTTACTGCCTGCATATAGAGGACCGTGGCCGGTTCTAGAAGTCAAGGGCGGAGAGGATGGACCATCCTACACTATAGAGATCCCAGCACACCTCCACACGTACCCTGTGTTCCACGCTTCAAAGCTGTTGCCGTGTGTCACAAGCCAACAGTTCCCTTCAAGACGATCTATGATCCCTCCGGATATGGACGAAAGTTATGACATTGAAGGTATTGTAGACGAAGATGTGTTTAGAACAGGAGGTAGAGGTCGTCCCCAGAAGCAGTATAAGGTCCGGTTTGCCTATCAGGAATCGGAAGATGACCGCTGGTTCACAAGAACAGAACTTCTAGAAACAGCTCCCGACATAGTCAGAGCCTATGAGCGTGACAGGAAAGGTAAAGGTCCCGCCTTGGACTAAGATGTTCTCGGAGGACCTCGAATTTAGGACGGCGGGAGTGAAACGGTTTTCACCTCTTTGCAGTAACAGATGCAGATCCCAGGGCTCGATCCCTAGACCTCACCCTAACCATGTACAGTATCTGTGTAGACCCCGAGAGTTGAACCTGTGACCTGTGTATTCGTAGACAGTTGGTAGGTCTGTCATAGGTCTGTAGGTAGCAGTGGTTCGATCTGTAGACCCATAGAGTAGAAGTCTTAGCAAGTTCCAGAAGTCTAGCTGTAGTCCTTCTAGAAGGTCGGCAAGTGGGCAAGTGGGCAAGTGGCGAGGCAAGTGGTGGACTAAACTGCAGTGCAATTGCAGTACGACTACGGTAGGTTAGAGGTGAGTCCACAGTCAGTCAGCGGTAAGGTCCTGTCAGTCCCAGTCCGGTCCAGCAAGTACCACGGGGGCCGATGGCAAAGGGCAGACCAACGAGTTCCGAAGTATAAATCAAGAGGCAGCGCCCAGCCTTTCGTTCATTCCTGCGTGAGCCACGCGGAAGCGCTGCCACAGCGACTTGTGCAAGGAGGTCTGCAGTGAGCCCGGAGGACGCAGTGGGCGAGAGAGAAGGAGCTTAGCATAGCGATACGGTAGAGGCAGCCATAGCTGCCATAGCTGTAGTTAGCGAGTAGTGTGTGTGTGTTGTGTGAGTGTTCAGAGTGACGCGTGTGGGATATCCAGGGTGATCCGGTGTGTGTGAACAGTGGGTTGTTTGGGCGCTGAGTCGCCATAGCCAATTGGAAGTGAACTCGTATCTGGATGTCATATCTCTGAGTTTTGAGTGGGCGCATGTCGCCAGTTTGCTGCGCTGCTGTTTACATACATGAAAAGTGTGAATGAGAACGAGTCTGATTGCAGGTAAACCTTTTCCAGGATTAATCTCTGTTTCATGGATACACCTGTTTTGGTATAAATAACTCTTCCACGGGTAGAATTGTTCCACGGATCAACCTGTGTTATTAAAAAAAAACGTTCCAAGATGAACCTGTGTGTGCTGCAGCACCAAATGCAGCAAACGGTCCCAGGATCAGGGAACAAGGGGATTCCTTCAATTGGACACAACGAACAGACAGAAAAGCTATATATATCACAGACCTCACACCAATGGGCAGACGCATAGCATCCAGGAGGAAAAGCAGGAGGGCCCTATGCCTCCTATTAGAGCTACTGATGTCGGAAGGTGGGATAAGTCGACAGTGCTGCTCATGTAAGATATTTCTAGATTGTCATGTGAACATACATCAGCCGAGACCTCGGTCAGTGGTACTTAACGCCCTATGCCTGATTCTGCAGAAAAGATAAACCCATCACAGAAGACGATGGTTTTGAAAGCACCAGTTTCTCCAAGCCTCATCTTCCCGATGCTTAGTTCTGCCCACTCTCGCCTACAGAACCGTTGTGGGAGCTGGGCTTGGAGGTGGCGGCCATATCTGTAGTGTTTGTATTTTGCTTTTTGAGAATCCTGGAAGGAACCTCCTTCCTAACACAACTCAAAATGTTGGACAATACTTTCTCCCTCTGTCCACCACCTTTGCCCCTCTCTCTCTCCCTCTCTCTCTCTCTCTCTCTCTCTCTCTCTCTCTCACACACACACACACACACACACACACACACACACACACACACACACACACGCAAAGACACAAGCATGCACACATATGCAGAAAGAGACGAATGCAATGTGACATGCTGTCTAGATACAGCGGACTGCTACAGACTCGTGTGACAAGGCAACCTTCTCTCTTGTTAACGAGTCTATTTTCGTTTCCTTGTTCACGAGAGATGAATACAACGTGACATGTTGTCTAGATACAGTGTCTAGATACAATGGACCTCAGCGCCCCGCTTCCTCTCCCCTTATCCCCTCCTTGGTCTGAGCCCACCTTGAGATGGTCTGACAGAGTTTGAAAAGCCCTCCCCACACAATCAAGATTCACAATGCCTGTGTACGCTCACAAATTTTTGCATCATAGGAGCCCACGGGAGCAGCTGCCTCTTCGAATTGGTAGTGCCTAACATCTGCCTCGATCTCTTGATCGATGCCAAGCCATTCTCCATTTTTTTTTTCTGTGTTTGCATGCGGCGGTGGTGTTGGGGCAGAGGGGAGGGAGGAGGACAGCCATAGGAAAAGGGAGCCACCGTTTGCTTTCCTGAGTCAACATTAAACACTGTAGACAGCTAAATCTACATTATCCAGCCAGATGCAATGCATCGTTTAAAGACTGATAAATAAATTTTGAGTTTCAACGGGATGAAGGGTTTCTTGCATCATGCCTTTCTTTCTGCACCACCCACTCGCTCTCAACACCTTCCTCCTCCTCCCCTCCCCGCTCTCTCTACCGGGTCTCCCCTTTGCACCACTGGAATTGAACAACATTGAACAACACTGAACAACAACCTGTTAACAGGTAGGGAGCGGGACTTTCTCTTTCTATTTTTCATTAAAAGTTTCAAATGTTCAGATACCAAAAAACAAAAACAAAAACAAAAGACGAACTAAAATACTACAGGCATGCCTTTCTTTCTGCACCACCCGCCTCCCAAAACCTCCAACCCCCCCTTCCCTCTCCTCTCTCCCCTTTGCACCACTGAAATTGAACAACATTGAACAACAACCTGTTAACAGGTAGGGAGCAGGACTTTTCTCTTTTAGTTCAGATACCAAAAAACAAAAGAAACGAAAAAAAAAACTACAGGTATGGATAAATTGCAGTGGGGAACATATCTTCAGCAGTGATGGGCAGGTGGGGACCACATCTGTGCAGCCTCTATGAGCACTGTTGTATTAACGGTGCGAGTAAAGCCTAATACAACACTGCGTTATTCAGATGTACGAAGTACTACGAACCACTTTCTCGCCTTATAACGTTGGTGTTTTCTTGGTAGGTTGGAAAACGAAATAAAACAAATTACCTTCTCGACAGGAATGCCAGTCCAGGCAGAGACGATCTTTTGAATATCGGCCTCCGTGACTAGGGGGCCGGTTTCTCCAGTCTCTGACTCCGCCTTGGTCTTCTCCTTGCCCTTCTCCAAGATTGCCGTTATCTGTGCCTTCAACTCCATCTCCTTGTCCCTCAATTCTCCAGCCTGAAGACAGGGGGAAGGCGGGGGAGGGGGCAGAGTGGGGGGAACGTGACAGAAATCACAGAGGAGCAAACTCAGATCCATCTTCATTTTTTCTATTTTTTTTTAAGCTGTCTTCTCCCCATTGAAATGAGCCAAGTACTCGTCAAGTTCAACCTTGCATACATCAATGAACATTCACATGAGAGTTCACACGTGAGAATCCAAATCGAGATACAATCAACCTTGAAGATGTCGTCTCCAATATTACTATCAATATACAAGAATGTTTGTCTCAAGCGGCTCTGCCGCACACACACGCACAATGTCTCAAGCGGCTCTGCCGCACACACACGCACAATTGATCTCAACCAGATAGCGGCTATGGCTTCTCCCCTCTTCCCTCTCTCTCTGACTTGACTCGTTCTGTCCCACTCTCTCTCTCTTCTCTCTCTCTCTACCCTGGATCGTTACCATGGATACACCCACTCAGGTAGCTTACACCTTGGCGGCTATGACCGCTGTCCTCCTGCTCTACCGGCAGCCTAGCTATGGAGTATCTCTCAAGCGCCCTCTTCTTCTTCGGCCGCACAGTGCCTAAGTCGCCTTAACGCACAACCAGCAGCAGCGCTTCCGCATCTTGCAACTGAACAAGTGATGAGCCGCTGCACTGTAGCAGCTATAGGACTTGGCTTGGCTTGGCCTGCTTCAGACCGGTACCGGTTGGCCGCCACCTGTCCACTGCAAACATTTTGTCAGTCTGGTAGCTTCCGGACTTTCCTGGGACATGCTGCAAAAATGGACTTCGGACTATCGGACTGGACTGGAAGCTTCTGGACTTTTCTTGTCGGGTACCGGCCGGACTCCTACTGTACGACGCTTCGACACCTACCGACCTACGATGCTTCGGCCTCTAGACCCTACGGCCTACCCTACGGGGCAGCCCTGGGACTCGGGACTTGTTGGGACCTTGGGATCGGGACTGGGTGTCTGCAGCATGAATCCTTTCACTCCCGCGGGCCTAATTTCGACCTCCGCCGAGAAAATCCCAACTTCATCTATTATACACATGCATTCCTCTCCAGGCCCGCTCATAGAAAGAGACAATGTGACGGGCCGTGTGCATTAGTACCCTGGGGAACCAGCGCTCTTCGCTGGGCTCCTGGTAGGCAAACCTGACCTTATATAGCCGCTGTGGCCTTCCTCTGCGACCTGTGCGGAAAGTATCTTCGGCCAACATTCGGTCTACATCATAACCTCCGTCCATATCTGGTGGAATCATGGTGAAACAGTTTTCACCTTTGGCAGTAGCCGATGCAGATCCCAGGGGTCGATCCCTTGACCTCAGCTTACCTGTGTACAGTATCTGTACAGTTCCCTGGAGTTGAACCCGTGACCTGCACGATAGCCAGTGGTAAGTAGGTCACCGTAGGTTGTAGGCTGTAGGGAGATTCGAACTGTAGACCTGTAGGGTAGGAGTCCAAGTAGAGTCCAGAAGCCCAGCTTTA